ATGATGATGTCAGTGGAGATAGGAATGTGGTTGATAACGCTGTCCATTCGCTTGCCGGGCGCTAGGTGGGGTTAGGAAGGTGGTGTGTTGGACCCTGAGGAGGGGTAGTCAACGTTGTGGGCAACTGTATGCTTAGTAACTGCAAAAGGTAATGAAGAATGCTCGGAAATACGCACTGTCGACCGGGATGCTATGCAAGAACGTGTTTACCTTGATCGATTTCCCCATTGTTGAACTTCTACGATCCATCATGGCCGACATAGAAGACATAATGCATCTTTGTGTTACGGAAGTCAATAATTGTTTTCACGACTAAGACGTTTCCGTATGAAACCCTGCCTTGGGAATTGCCACCGATACTTAAGTAATAGAGTTATGACTAGGGTAGCATCTGCAAGTGATGCTGTACGATCAAAAATTTGGGTATCGATTTTCCCTCGACAATCTGTTGCCATATCCAAACGCCAAGTGAACAGACGATTAGACAAGGACACTATCCAGTAACCCTTCGATCCAACCCTCCCAACTTCCCCTCTTTAGACCTGCTACCCCCTTCACCACATGGCCCTCGCTCTTATCAACTTCTTTTTGTAACCCTTCTTTGGCACCTTCGCCCTGAGCTTCCCACCACTCTGCCTCGGCCCTATCTTTGGCTCTCTTGACAACTCTCTCCTCATCCTCGATACGGTACAGATCGCATTTGTTGCACTCACTGCAAGGCTGCCCAGGTCTTTCACGAAAATGTCCGCAAAAGTGTTGGTATCCCTCGTTCGCAAGACCTTGTCGGCAGATGTAGCACATGCTATACCCGCACAGACAGACAAGCTTGTTACAGCCCTCAGACTTGACGAAGCCTAGGTTGCACTGAGGACAGGTGCGTTTTACGGCGTCTGTGGTGGCGCGTTCGAGTGTGAGACGAAGAGATGTGAGCTGGGAGGAAAAACATGTGTGAGGGTCGTGCCAGGGAAGACTACACGAGAGGCAAGATGCACGGCCGCAGCTCGGAGAAAGACATTGGAATCGAAGACCACGACGCTTTAGGTGGACACGTCTAAGGGCGGACCGGAAAGGTGCGATGACAGGCAAGCGAAATGCAACGGTGACGAATGTATAGATGAGTACGAGGGCGAAAAGAACAGCCCGTGTAGCTTGGAAACAGAGCAATTCAAATAAGGGGACGGATGCTAAGGAAGCAAATACAAGTGGGCGAGGTTTGAAACGGAGGCTGGCGAAGAGATTGGTATCTGGAAGAGCAAGGTCATCCAACTCAGCGTACGAGCAGAAAGGACATTGCACAAGTGGAAGCTGAGATCTTGTAAGCGCATCGCTAGCGAAGCGCTCGTTGAGTTTGGTGAGGTTATCCTTTCCATCTTGCTCTTCCAAGAGCGCGCGCCTGACAAAGCTGAGGGGAATGCAGCCATGACACTCTTCGGATCCACCTGTCATAGGCGCTATGCATTTCAGGGTACACAGATCAGTGTTGATGTTGCGCGCCCAGCCCTGATCGTAGAGTGCAGCGTTGATGGCATGTCTTATGCAACGGAAGCAGATGTAGTGGCCGTCGATGTCACATGTCGACATTTGCTGGAGCGTATTGGGAATGAAGCAGCATTCGCAATCATACATCTCACCCTCTCGCTCAGCCTCCTCTTCGTTCCATTGCATGGCCAAGTCGAAATCCTGCCGTAATTGCGCTTTCCGGTGCTTCTCATGTTCCGGCACTATGAGAGCATTATAAAGCTCCTGGTTCAGTTCGTCGCTCCTTGTCTTTACAAGAAGTGGCATGGGTGGGCGGTTCAGCCTCTCGTCGGCGGGAGTCCATATGACCAACGGATGGTCATTCGCGGTTGGCGCCTTCCGTCGCATTAAAAAGTTGGTAATACTGGACCTCCAACTCCTAGTCGAGAGTTCCAGCAGCGTGGGTCGTGCATGTGTATAGCTGTAATTATACTCGGCTAGGACAGCCTTGATAGTCGAGTGGCTCAGGCCTTTGAATTCCTGGTATAGGGCTTCTTTGGCAGCGTCCTTATATCTTCGTGACCGGAACTTGTCTTCTACCGCAAGCGGTATGCCTCGGGTGTCCTTTGGAGCATCTTCCTTCCGATATTTGTATTTTTGCGCCGTCTCCCGCTGCTCTTCCTGCTCGGCTGGCATCCTGTACCGCCCTCGCACATATTTGTCGCCATGCTTCAGAAGAGTTTCGGTAACTACCTGTAGCCTGCTCTCTTCGCTAAAGGTAGACAGCATCTCTCGAAAGACGTCGGGTTGGATGTCTGGGAAGATGTCCGTGAGCGCTTGCAGGGCAGTATTGAGGTCGCGAAGGTCAGGCTCATCGAGGCCATGGCTATCGATCGAAGGCGGAGGCTGGATCGCGGGCTGCGTGTTTGTGGAGGCGCGTCGCAACTTGGGCGGCCGCACAAGGGAGGCGAAGACGGTCGACATTGGATAGGGAGCGCCTAACGCTGCGGCGAAGGACGTTTGCCAAGCATATGAAAACGGGCAGCGAGGAGACGTGTGTGTGTGTGGAAATTAACTAGACATTACAAGAACTAAGGGAGGGCGACAAGTGTAAAAGTAAAGCATGAAGCCGTCGGGTGGTCGTGTGCACCCCAGGGAGTTGAAGGATGCTTCCAAGCCCGAGAGACATGACGCGTAACCGCCGTATCAGTCCAGGCCCTGCCAATCATCATCGCCTGCGCACGTGAGACCTGCATCTCTCATCGCCAACACCACTGGTGCACTCTTCCACACTGGGTTTCGTCGCCTCCAGTGAAATCTGGTTGCATGTTCCACATATGCATTGATTCGCTGACACGCAAGTCCAACTGTGCTTCCGACGTGTGGGCTAATCTTGGTTTTCCCATGTTTGGATCTAACATGCTACGTGCACCTTCTTCACTTTCACTCAGCCAATCCGAATAGTCTTGGCAACTTACATGTCAGGCTGTACAAGCATTGCCTGATATTGTTGGCTCAACTGATGTGCGCATCAATTGCATGCCCCGCTCTTCTATGCTCTTCAGCTGCCGCATAAGCTCGTGACAGGACAACGAACAACCCAGAACATGTCGCAGCCTCTGCTTCAGCAAAATGTTGCCAGATCAAACATGGACGATGCTACCAGAACGCCAGGAAAACCCAGGAATCCCAAGTCAGTTCCCGAGGTTACCACAACGAAGAAAAGCCGGCGTAACGGTACGCGGTAGGTATTTCGTCGACGGCGTCAATTGTATATATGTGTACGGATATCTAACAAGAATTCAGCCATCGTGATGACAAAAAAGCAGCAGCAGCAATCCCTGTAACATCAAGCGTATCGAGCACAAACCATCAAGCCCAAATGATGGGTGCGAATAACGTGCCTCGGCCTGGAACAGCAGAACCTGTTGTTTCTAAAAGTGACAACGCTCTCCAGCCGAGGAAACGTAAGCCGCGTTCCACACAGGCGTAAGTAGACATTACCATACTCCATGAACTCAAGCTGACTTCGCTCGTAGCGCACGGGCAAGAAGAGAAGCAGGAACTGCAACCGTGGATACCCCTTCGACAAAGACGACACAGCTGACGACGTCGTCATTGGTAACATCGTCAGTCAAGTCAGCACTTCCGCAATCGACTCGAGGCGAAGAAGTCTTGCTGAATTCGACGTCAACCCAACCGACACATCCCTTACCTAAGGCGCCTTCTTGGAAAACATCATGGATGTTTCGGGATACTACCGGGTCGCCTCTGCGAACGATAGAAGCAAAATTGTTGGAGCCAGACAATATCCAGGTATCTTCTGCGGGTGGCTTCGAGACCTTGTGCAGTTATAATTGGCAGAACAATGGAGCAATCTACGTTCCTGGCGCGCCTCCCAGATGGAGCCCTCCCGCATTACCAACCACTCTGACTCAGGATACCGGGCGACAATTCATCGATCAAAACGCTTCCCGCGTGCCCAAGTTTCCTTTTGAGCCTGCATTTGCCGCCCTTGCTGTTATGAAACCAAATGCCCTATTAGATGAAGTCGACATCATTGTCAACCGCAACAGTTTGCGCAAACTTCTCGACTTCTCAGCTGGGAAGAAGCTGGATGCGTTCTGTATGGGTTTACATATGATCGACAAAACACTTGTAATCAGTCGCAAAGAGAGGAATGCTCAGCAAATGATCCATGGCGCATCCAACGCGGGCTATGGACATAATTTCGAGAAGACGTTTACAAAGCCTGATCATGGGATGGGAAACTCCAGTAGCCATCATAGGGTCATTCGGTACCACATTGGCCCTTTGAACTGTGTCGTTCGATTCGAAGTTGACGCATATTATGAAGATCCGGACACCGCCCATAGTCCGGAGCCTACACGTCCTTCCAAAGAATCCGTTGACACTATTACCGCTGCTATGGCGCAGTTGGACATGGCAACCCTGCCGCCAACCCAATCCAAGAGTAAGAAATCCCCTGCCGATAAGTCTACTAGAGTTGTCGAGAAAGGGGTTTCCGTCGATCCTTCAAAGCTTGCTGAAATTAAAGCTAAGAAGTTCGCACGTCTTAATGAAGCACTACCGCAGCTTTGGTTCGGCCGCACACCCTATTTCATGAATGGCAACCATAACAAAGGCGAGGTACACTCAATCAGCATCAGCCATGCTAAGTCTGATTTCCCCCGATGGGAGGAAGCCAATCAAGATAGGTTGCGCAAGATGGTGAGTTTGCTTGCGGAATTGCGGGGTGCCGTTGCCCTTGTACAAGGGAAAGCAGCGGTATTAGTGTATGATGACAAAGGTGGGCCATTGAAGGTTTATGCGATGAAGAACAATCAGGGTGTGCTGCCCAGTGATATTATCGCGAAGCATTGGGGTAGCAGCGGAGAAAATCCCCAGTGAGCGGATTCTACATGTTGCAATGTCTGGTCACAGTATTTACAACCTTACTCGTTGGAACGAAGAAAACAAGTCCGACACACAACACAATCAGTACCAAATACCCTATACTGGGAGAACGGATAGTCGCTGATCTAGCCTGGCACGCCAGTAGGCGCTTCTTGCATCCACTCCCACGTAACCTGAATTCTTTCCTTGCCCATCCCATCCCAGTGCTTAGAATATACATCCGGCTGAATATCCAGATCCGACACGTTACACCCTTCGCAACGATCTCTCACCACAAATTCCTGTTCCACAAGCCTTTCTCCGCTCTCGTCGCCTATCCATGCTCTGATTCCTTGGTTACACAGCGCACTTGAGCTCCGATCAATAGAATCCCCGAGTTTCCCATCCGGGTTCATCCCATCTGACTTCCATCCCTCTTCCAAAGATGACCCTCCAATCTCTCGTCCCATGTCAAACAGCTCCCAGCTTATCGCGACAGCGAGCTCATTTGACGTCATTCTGGGGGATCCGCATGCTCCTAGACCAGGGTTGAAGTAAGTCAACTGTCCAGCTTGGGGGTCCGCAGGGACAATGTTGGGAGCTACGTAGCCGGTAGGAATGGGGAAGGGGAAGAGATTTGGCCAGTCTTTGGCCAGGTGCGGGCCTGTATAGACTGGTGGTGTTCCGGCCGCATTGCTGGGCATAGTACGCAGGTTGGTGTACCTGGCGGCTTGAGTACTGTAGGTAAGCATGGAAATTGTCCATTCTGACGGTGGGGTCCGAGAGGGGTGTTCAGGCAGAACTCCGATTTCAGAACCGGGTGCTGCAGTTGCTGAGGTTGGCGGGACTCCAGGTTTCAGTGGGCTAGGTGAGACGGAGACTGAGTACAACATACTGGTGGAACTTATGGGGAAGGTTCTAACGGACGTAGAAACTGGTACGGTTGGGGGGATAGCAGAACCAGGATTTGTATTTGCCAGGGCGTTTTGTTGCAGCGAGATGGTTGGGATTGAGGAGACAGTCCCGCTGCTGGATGTTTTAGATTTGACAGCTGTACATACAGTGGGCTTTTTACTAGATGTTGGTGGTACACTGCTAGGAAGTCTCACCAAGGGTCTCCCACTCATTGTGCCCGTACCCGCATCTAGTAGGAAACGTGATCGGGAAGGCGATTGACGACGCTCATGAGTTTTCGAGGGCAATGCAGAAGTTGATCCACCCGTTGCTATCCAGTGATAAGCTTGTCGACGAGCGGCGGCATTGCTGCTCGCTATACCGATAAGCTGTGCCGTAGTACCAGCATTGTTAATTTGAGCGGGATGTGTTGTGGTTGTAATCGGACGCACTGTGATAGAAGGAGCTAGATGTCGAGTCTGCTGTGTTTCGATTTTGTATTCGCCGACCAAGGGGAAGAAGCGTCGGAGGTTGTGTAGGTTCTTCCATGCAAGTGGTGCTACTAGCCGCCTCGCTATCGCACTGGAGGAAGCCGAGACAACAGCAGTATCTTCCCGTAGGGTTTCGACAGCTGGAGATGTAGTAGGCGAAGGCGTCGTGTCTGGACTGAGGGTCGAGTCCACGGTGGCAGATGACGTTATCGTACTTGGAAAGTTCATCTCATAGGAAAGTACAGAAGTCGACAAACTAGCAGTATAAATAACTGTATTTGTCATACACTCTGAACCAGCTTTCGTAGGTTTGGGTTCTAGCAGCTGTGAGGAAGCAAAGTTGCTCCTAGCGCTTGATACCACTGGCTCAGATGTCCGAAGGGTACTCGTAATCGTAGTTGTTAAGGTTGTGGTTGTAGTAGTCGTAGTATCTTCGCGGTCCCCTGAGTCTTTCCTTCGATCCAAATCCGAGTGTAGAGTCAGAATATCACCAGGGGGAGCATACTCATGTCGAACTAGGTAGCCACTCCGTCGGACAAGGTTACCATCTATATCCACAGTTTGCAAGAAGGAGGAGGTTTGTAGAGAACTGCTGGTACTCGAACGTGATGGCCGTACTGAACTAGGCTTAAGTGTGGATGTAGGAGTAGGGCTTGGGATAGGAGTTTCGCTAGTCTCGAGAAAAGATGTCAAAAGTATGACGCTTGCTGAGTTGCTCTCCAATTGCGGCTCGATACTTGTGGCTCTCCTCAGGGTTGACGACTCCAATGATGGCAACGCTGACGATAAACTAAGCGTTTTGCTTGCCCTCATCCCCTTGACCTCTTTCTCTAGGCTAGCGGACTTTGCATGACTCAACGCTGCCAGGATACCAACAACTAGGGTTAGAATAGTCAACCAGCATAGCGTACAATACCATGTGGAGTCTCGTTTGGAATCAGAGACCTTTTGCTTGTAAGACTTCCCAGTCATTTCTCTATATCCTTCTAGCGCCGAAGGTTTGAGCGGTACTTCGATAACCCCTAATCCAGCAGAGTTTTCTTTTGTCTCACTTGCGGGTGTACGTGGTAAAGTGCTGTAGGGACCTTGTTTGAAAGCGCTGAAGGAGTCTTTGCATAGATCCTTGTGGCCAAAGACTAACTCAGAATATGCAGAGCTGACGTATTCACTGCGCTTTTTGTCTGTTTTATCCTCGACTTTTTCAGCGCTACTGTGCTGTGGTAGGCCACTACCGATATGCTTGTCTTGATCGAATGTTTTATCTTCAGAGAAATTGAGAGGCGATATGTTGGGACATAATGTCTCAGGAGTACTTGGTAGCTCCTTTTCGAACTTTGAGGCCGGAGCTGGAAACTCAGCGGAGATAGGTGTGGTGGATTCATTGACTGGGATGGGATTGCTTATGGCGTAGCGTCGCCCACCTGCAGAAGACTTGAAAGAACGTTCTCTCTGCAGCTTCGTAGGCATAGATATACGCGCAGTACGGCATCCACTGTGGTGTTCTGATTAATATGAGCTGTTGGGGCGAAGGAAGTCACTACCAACGTAAACGGATGTAAGTATCAAGCAAAGGGCAGAAGAAGAGTAAAATCTCTGTGAAATTGGAGAGCAATATATGCCGCATGATTTGGTGAGTACCATGTAATGTCGTAATGTGTCACAGTTGACTCAACCCTGAGTCACGACCATGTCCAGACAGAGAAGTCACGACGCTCACGCCCAGGACCACTCCACATTGACCCTACCCTTGGCTTTATCAGCCAACTTGTCGAACATGGCGGGGCTGACGTCGATGTTGTTACGATCGCATCCAACGCCTGTATTGAATCAGCAACAGTAGTATGATGTGTTGTGAGATAGATTGTGCCATCTGGAGTACTTACACCTGTCGACAATGGTGACCATAATGCTGGCGTCCTTGCCGGTCCTCTCGTCGACGCGATGAGCTCGGATCTTCTTGCCACATAGCGGATTGGTGTTTGGGTTAGGGCCGACCTGATTCTCGTCCCCTGGTTTTGAGATGCCATGTCAGTGGGTGTCTTGTAGATATGTTGAGAAAAAGTCGATGCTTACAGATGACGTGTGAGATGGCCATGACAGCATCTCCGTCACCATGATTGGTACCACAAGCACCAAGCGCAGGGTTGTAGAAGGTCATTTCGCCAGTGGTCTGGGCTCCCTTGGGCGGGGGAAGAGCATTGTTGCTATGGAGCTGATTAGTGGGGGCTGTAGAAGATAGGTAGAGCATCAACAACGTACTTGGAGCCGATGGACAAGCCTGCTGCAAGACCGATGATGAGAGCAAGAACGGAAACAAATGTGATGCCGATCATGATGAGTAGCGTACGGCGGTTAATGTAGTTGTTGAAGTATCTTTGGTGTGGTGGCAGAAAGTTGTTGAAGTGACGAGAGAGTGTCGATCCAAAAGTACTTGTTTTCATACCAGCAAAGATACCACATCCAAGTCCATGCCGCCTTCCTGAGTAAACGGGCTTGTCGTCAGGTGAAGGAATTTCACGTGGGAGAGTAGTGACCGTGTTGACATCTTTCATTTGTTGACCAGGAGGTGAAGGTGCTGCCCATTGCGACCCAAATGTAGCAGCCGAATCATTCGAATCATTGAAGTATGCCTGTGCCGGTTCTGGAAGCGGTTTCCGTGGTATCACTGGGGTGTTCATGATTGTATCTCAAAGCGCGTAGCGTACATATAATCCAACGTGGTGATTGGGGGTATCTCAAAGCAAGCAAACGTCATAACATATTGAGGCAATCGTCGTCGGAAATGAGCGTGCGCCTAGGCAATGGCCGGCATTGACAAGATGAAAGAAGGGTTCAGGCGGAGTGTGGAGAAGACGGGTGCGAACTTGTGGGTCGCAAGGTGAATGACAACAAGGGGTAAGGGCGGTTGCATCTAGCCCATTCGGAGATTCACGATTCGCCGAGGCTCGTCCGAAACTGTCGACTTCACATCAACTTGACAGAACAGTGCGCATAAAGAGAGTCAAATTGTTGTCGCGTTTGCTCTCAAGGTCCGACACAACCAGCGGTCTGCAACATAATTTCCTCAAAAATTCACCACTTGGGTGTTCGCATTACAGGTCTCAACTCTTACAAACGCACCGTACGCCGCACCTCGGTACACTCGCAATCACAGCGCATCGACTCAACGAGCCCTGAATCATACTGCGACTGGAGTCATGGCGGAGCAGAGCATCAACGTACCCCAAGTCATTGTTTTCATCGTCGTCACGTTCCTCGCTGTACGATGGTACTTAAGGAAACCCACGGTGACGGCCCCAGGCACGCGAGCTGCGGCGAACCGCGCTGCAGTCCGCGTAAGTCCTGCGCAAATAGACCAGGTCGCTGAGATGCTGCCGCAGTTGAGCAGACGAGATATTGCATGGGATCTGCAAAGGAACGGTGGTAATGTCGCGGCGACAACGGAGAGGGCGCTGAGCGGGAGGGGTTTAGACACAGTAAGACTCACAACCTGAGCTTTGTCGATGCTGTCAACGTATGCTAACACATGTCTAGGCACCACCGTCCTTCCAGGTACCTACACCTGCACCACGAGCTGCAACTACACAGGCGCGAGTAGCTCCAGCCCCATCGAGGCCTGCGCATCCAGATCTGATAACACGATACAACCTATCCTCGAAGCTCAGTCAGGCCGACCAACCCGTACAGGAGGAGCAACCCAAGACAAAATCGTGGAGTGCAGACAAGAGTGAACGGCAAGCAAACTTGCAAAGACGGCGAGAAGAGATGATTCTGGCGGCACGGAGAAAGCTCCAGGAACAGGAAAAGGCAAAGGCTTCGGGCTCTGCATAGTCACGTCTGTACTCTGTGTCCAAAGTGGGAAAGAGACAGTATAGCGAGCCATAAACGCATGTGTTGGTAGTTATACCCTAGATCGTTTCCGCAATGCATCCTACCACATACAACTTCAGATCATGTCAAAAACGTTATCGTGTCTACGGGCTGATGATCTCATAGGTCGGAAACATATTCAGCATTACTGATTGTATGATCGTTATGATTAATGAGCTGATGTTAGCGTCGTCGCTCTAGGTTGCAATGTGTGCGTGTAGCAGTGAACACTCTCTACGGGTAATTACTCGGCGCCCACGTTCGCTCTATGGCTTTCCTTGAATCATACTGTGCAAGGTTGCCATCGGCGGCCAATAGTAACACGAAGAATTGCGGGACGTTGACGCTGGGGGCCAACGCCTTCCCCAAGAAATCGATCGGGTCCGATACCCCTTGTCGAATCTCCAGCTACTTAGATAAAACCGCCGCGTAGCAATCTCGACATTTAGCATGTTGGGGTTCACTTCGTTTTCCCTTGCGTCCGTCGAATGTCTGGAGCAGAGGTTTTCAGTGCATTAGGCACCCCTGCACGAACGGCTGCACGGGTTCTCGTCGCACCACGATATGCTGTTAATGGCTTCCAACCTCTCCGAGGGTGGATGGACAACGAATATGCACGCGCGCGATATGGGCGGTGGTACATGTGGCGTATATGGCTCCTTTTTGATTGCAAAGACCTCGAAGTGCTGGAGAATTTGATCAACGACGGACAAGACGAGCAAATACTAGAGATGCGGGATGCGAAGTTGAAGCAGTTCAAGCTAGTCACGTTGGTGGTATGTATACCTATCTTTAATCAAGACACGGAGAATACATGAGTGAGCAGCTCAGCATTGGATGTGCCGAAAGCTGATGTGAATACTTCAAGGGCGCCCTCTTAGCTACTTTAGCTCTTCAGGCACTCTCCCTCCCTGTCCTAGAGGAGACCATATTCGTCGCACGCGCAAGCTTCATCGTTAGCACCATGCTTTCCCTGCTCGCCACATTCTTCACCCTCATCCAACAACGCGAAGTTGGTGTCATTCGCGATGCGAGATCCTTTCGGAGGTGGCTCTCCAATGGTGTCCAGTACTACAACGCCCGAGAGCGCCTTGTATGGCAGAGCTCTCTGACGTCCTTAACGTTAGTGGAAGCTCCTTACGAACTGATAAGCTTGGCTGTGGCGAGCTTCGTAGCAGGCATGTCAGCATATGGTATGTTATGTCTGTACGAAATGCATGTGTGGCATTCACTAACTTCGTATCTTCACCTCTGTAGTGTGGGATGTTTGGAAGGACGGACTAGAAGCTCAGAAAGAGCAGGGTCTGGATGGCGTAGCAGTGGTAGTGTACTTTGCTGTTGCGACAGGGTTTGCATTTACAATGTTTCCAGTATTATTGGGACTAAAGGACCGAGAGGAGAGTGTGTATTATAAGAATACAGAGATGTAGGGTCGGAGTGGAATCCTTAGATATCTCGATGACTATGACGTCACTTCAATACTCAGCAACACTACATTGACTGCTACTCTTGCGCCAGCCACATGTGACTATTTTGTCTTTCAATTGTTAACACTAAGATGTTTCAGATGAATTCAAGTGAGTAGACGGACTCAAGGAATTCTTTTGTAATATTCGTGTTCCGACGAAAATCGGATCTTAGATGTAGAAGCGGACCTACGACGGAGTTAAGCTCAAACAGGATCATATCAAAAGCGCCTTCGTCTGTATCGACGTTAGCTCTTACTTGGAGAACTGTGCATTTCTTGGCTGGTTGCTGATCGTTGGAATATATAAGAAAGTATCCTTGCGTGAAAGAATGACTAGTAACAGCCTTCACAGTATCAATTATCTACCTACAACTGCACGAAGTTCTTCAACATATCATCCACTGCGTACGAAAATGGCTTCACCACTACCATATAATCGACAGAATGCGCTTGCCTCGACTATTGCAGTGGACAATGCATGCAACATAGCTGACAAGATCATCATTGCTACCGGCGTAACGCAAGGCGGACTAGGAGCAACTTTCGTAGAGGAGATTGCAAAACACAAACCCGCTCTTCTCGTTCTCGCTGGTCGTTCGCCATCCAAAGTCCAAGTCACAGCCGACAAGATCAGGTCCAACCCAGCGAGTGCCAACGTCGAAGTGCGTATTCTAGCCTTGGATCTTGCCTCACAAAAGCAGATCCGCGAAGCCGCAAAAGAAGTTTTAGCATACCCAGAGTCCAACATCGACGTCCTCGTCAACTCAGCAGGCACGATGGCAGGCCCTTATCGCACCACAGCTGAAGGCATCGAGAGCCAATTCGGATGCAACCACGTCGGGCATTTCCTCTTCACTAATCTCATCATGTCCAAGCTCCTTGCTTCCAAAGCACCAAGAGTTGTCAATGTGGCTAGCGACGGCCATCGCTTCAGCGGCGTTCGTTTTGAAGACGCAAATTTTCAGAATGGCAAGGTGTATGACCAGTGGGAAGCCTACGGTCAGAGCAAGACAGCGAATATATTGTTTTCGTATGCGTTGGCCGAGAAACTAGGTGCAAAGGGATTGAGAGCTTACAGTCTGCACCCGGGAGTGGCGTTGGGAACATCTCTTGCTGAGAAGTTCGATGATGAAGACATGAAGAGTGTGGGTACGTAGAAGACGTTGAAAATCACCGTAAATGACTGTCTGACGAGTACGCAGCGGCCAAGGATAAAGCGATCGGCTGGGCGCGTGGTTTTGACATCAAGTCGCTCGATGAGTGTGCGGCTACCCATGTTGTCGCTGCCTTCGACACAAGACTGGATAACTACAACGGCGCCTTCCTCAACGATGGTAACGTGGCGCCACAGGAAGTGCAGCCGACAGCGAAGAACCCGGAGGATGCAGAGAAGCTTTGGAAGCTGAGCGAGAAGCTGGTTGGAGAAGAATTCGTATACTGAGCACGGAGGCTGCGCAGATTGTTCTCAAAATGTATGGGATAACATAAGGCATCTTCACGCCATGCAATGCCATGTTTGTTTGCTGCCTCTTCTCATGCCCATTTCAAGCACCTTGTAGCCTCATGCGCGTCTTTGCACTCCAGTCCACACACGCGTGCGCCACACTTGCGACACTTGATCTGCCCCCAATACCCGCAGTTATCGCAGAACTGTCTCTGCGGTGGACCGCCAGCTGGAGGAGGCGCTGCGTGGCTTGCAGCGTACGAGAGCGGCGGTGCGGCAAGCAGTGCCTCAAGCTCGGCGGGGTTGATTGGTGGAGGTATAGAGTCGTCGATGGAGAGTAGCGCATCGTCAGCATTCGCGTCTTCGAGTCGTGATGGCGTTTGTGCTATGGCGGCGGGTCCTGGGGTGGCTTCCGCAGGTGTCGCGGGCACGGAAGCGAAGGCGCTCTGTCTTCGGGACGCTTGTGCTGCACCCCTTCCTCCTGTGGGCTGAGACACACTCCCTCTTGATGTCGTCGTTGCTTGTCCCAACTGTGCCTCTTCGTCGTCGAGCCAATGCTTGATCTGTCGCTGATACTGTATGATCCTCCTTGCATTCTGTGTCTTGGGCACGCTCGGCTTTCCAGGCACTGTGATGAGCTGTTTGGGGTCGTTGTCGCGTTCTAGCTCTGCTATGCGTCGCGCTATAGCCGTCTGCTGTCGTGCAGATAGCTCATTCTCGGCGCGCTGACCGCCTGGCGTTGCTGCCGCTGCGCGCTTCTTGTTCTTTGGGTTGATGGCAACCTTGGAGGGGTCGTAGCCCGTGTCGACAACATACGTCCATCCTGGTGCGACTGTCGCCGTCGAGTTCGGGAGCACCTCGACGTGTGGCATCGTGAACGGCCGAGTGTGCAAGGTCGTGTTGCGGAGACTTCGGAGGTGTGGAAATTATGCATCCACATGCCGACGCGCTATAAGTCCAGACGCCCGTACCTGCATCATCAGTGCGGGGTACGTACACTACCTGGATTGCTTCCCGTCTCGTCATCAACCATTTCGACGTCAGCCTATCTACTTTGGTAGCATATGATCCCGTAGAGTCAACCATCAAGGCACAGTAGCCACTTGATCGATCTACTCAACGCTAACTGCACACACTCACCTGCAAGTCACTTCTTCGCAACCAAACATGGCGCCTGAGAGGAAACCACCTATCGTACTTCCACCTACTTCTCCGCCAGATGAAATCTCCAAGTCGGCTGCCTTCGTCTTCATCCATGGCCTCGGTGACGAAGCAGAAGGCCTAGCAAACGTCGCCAACCAATTTCAGTCCGCGGGCAAACTGCCGTATATGTCTTGGGTTATTCCCAATGCGCTAGAAAACCACGATCTAGCAACTACTGCCTGGTATCTCCCCACACGCCTCTCTCCATATCCACCGTCGCGGCCTGAGCTCGAAGATGACGAAGATGAAGACGGCATGATGGCAACAGTATCGTATATCACCACATTGATTGATGATCTCGTCAGACAGGGTGTTCCGGCAGAAAGAATTATTCTAGGCGGTTTCTCACAGGGTCATGCTATGGCGCTTCTGACTGGCTTAATATCCAAGTACGCTGGGCAATTTGGGGGACTGGCCGGTTTATCTGGATACCTTCCTCTGGCAACACAAATACCCAGGCTGAGAGAGCAAGCCGGGTTACCGAAGGACGTAAGTGAAAGTAAGGAGGTATTTTTGGCTAGGGGAACGGGGGATCGATTGGTGCCGAGGCGTTACCATCGTTTGTGTTATGAAGGATTGTATGAACTTGGTATCGAGAAAGAGAAGGTAACGGTAAAAGAGTATGAGGGAATGGGTCATATCATGGGCGCAGCTGAGCTGCGAGACTTGTGTGCTTGGTTGGAGAAAGTAATACCCGAAATAAACTAAGATGAAGAATAATTCGACCCTGCGAACTTGTGGCAGGCGAAACTGATGACTACCGTGTTGTATCCCTCGTCTCCTAACTATGATTCCTGCTCCATCTCAAAGTCAAAATTGCCAAAATACACGCAAAGTGCCTGCGCAACATCAGTATACAATCTAGCTTCATGGTGGCTAGCTATATCATACCTTACTAGCACCCATCACAGTATAATGAGCAACCTCCAACTTCTTTCCATCTTGTCCATATCTCGCAATCTGATTAAGATCGGACGTTCTCGGCAGATACAGAACAACTTCTTTGCTTATCTTCGTAAAGCTCTTGTAGAGTGTTTCCAGGTTGTATGGCTCCATCTTACTAAGATCAAAAATATCTTCCGCACCGTATTCAGTTCCTATGTCGATCAGCATATTTCGCATGTCGGTGCTCTGATTATACGAACCTCCCCATGGCGGGCTAGCGAACACGACAACATTGCTCTGCCCAGAGAATCTGTTAATAGCAGTGAAGCAATCTGCGTTGAGCCAAAAGATCTTGTTGCTCACACCATAGATCTCGGCATTGTGCTTTGCGCACTTCAAGGTCTTGGCGTCTTTCTCGATGGCGAAGACGCGTTCCCAGCGACCTGAACGCGCTAATGCTATGGCATTACCACCGACACCCGCAAACGCGTCGACAATGACGGTCTTATCCTTGGGTGCAGACTCTGCGACGTGGGCTGAGATCTTGTTGGCAATGGGTTCTGGAGTCACGCCGAACCATGCGTCTTCAGTCATCCATATGCCTTGGTCGTACTTTTCCCAGATCTTGAACCGTTGATGCCAGTACCTACTAGTATTAGCTGCTAGGTTTCGCAAATTCGGTAGAAGACGAGCCATACTTCTTCAAGTGTTCAGGAAATTGCTCGACACGCGACCACTGGTCCACGCCTTTCTCATCCAGTTTTTCACTCATGACTATAGTGAGCGCAGTGTGTAATCCCGTGGAGGTCGTTATTTCCTCACAATCACACAAAAGACGAGGGTCAGTTCAGAAGATATGTTGATGACGAGTAAAGCAAGCAAGCAGTATAGATGGGTGAGAGCAATCCTGATACGCGTTACTATTTCGGGTTAGCCTTGACCAACGCGACTGCCTGTACAGACTCAGGTTACTTTACAACGTGAAATGTATAAATTCGACTGACTGCAGACATTCCAAAGAGGAGAATTTATCTTTGACTCGATCTTGAGCTATAGCAACCTGTCTCACGTCCTGTACAAGCACTCACTACAGCGCAGAGCGCCCGCTAGCGTGCCGCAGATCCTGAGCTATGGCCACCTTCCAAAACCTCCAAGTCATCAACAACGACACCTCCACCACCACAACTTCTTTTTCGTCATCTTCATATGATCACTCTCTAGAAGGGAAACCAATATCACAGCCCCTCATAATGTCTATGTTCGGGGCGCTAAATCGCTTCATATCGCGATTAGACGCTGCACCCCTCAACGAGGAGCAGCAGTCTGCTACCAATGGCGCATACGGATTCCAGGTGCTGAGAAATGCCAATCCAGAAGTACCTCTAGAGCCATGGTTTGATTTCGTCATTGGAATCAATGGGCGAACTATTGTATGTATGATTCCGTCTGATTCAAGGGCGACAGCACAGGAAACGAAAGAGCTGGAGATTTAGGAAAACTACGAAACGTGTGTGAGAGGTTGCAAGACGAACATAACATGGCCGAAACTAAGTGGAACTGGAGAATGTTGAACTGACTTTGCAAACAGGATAACCCCGACCCAAGCCTCTTTGCGACAGAGGTACGGAACTGTGCTGGCACAACAATTAGTCTAGGCGTATTCAGTGCGAAGGTAGGTCAGGAACGCCCCTTCTGCGTACCATGATACGTGTTATCACGCATTGCCCACTTTCTCACTGCATGACAACAAAGACACAGACTAGTCCTCAAAGCTGATTTCACATCGTTATTTCGTTTCATATCTACGGGTCTAACACCCTCTGCAGGGCCAAAAGATTCGGGAAGTCTATCTACAGATCCCCGCAAACCAGCCTACACTAGGCATCTCCCTGCAATGGTCCCCACTTGCCATCGCAGAAGACGTCTGGCACATCCTAGACGTAGCTCCCAACTCACCCGCTGATGCCGCGGGGTTGCTACCCTACGGTGATTACGTCATTGGCAGTCCCGAAGGGCTTGTGCGTGGCGAATCCGGCTTGGGTGAGCTTGTTGAAGACTTCTTGAACAGGCCGTTGAGACTATACGTGTATAACCATGAATACAACGTCACCCGACCTGTTACCATCACGCCAACACGTAGCTGGGGCGGTGAGGGTGCGTTGGGCTGTGTTCTGGGCTTTGGGGCTTTGCATCGTATTCCAGCGGGGCTGGACGAGCCGCCACCAGCGCCTGGGGAGACGTTCTTCTCCACGGGCGATACCAGTGGGGCTACCTCGTTCGACGAGAAACGCCCCTTGACGGGCATCGCTGATTTCTCTACTGTTCAGCCCCAGGGTGCATCGGCTGAATTGTTTGTACCAGCCAATATCGCGCTACCGTCGGTGTCTCCACCGCCTCAGGGCACGGTGCCGCCTCCAAAGAGGAAAGGCAGAGCGCACCATGTGGTTAGCCCCGCAGGTGGCGGTGGTGGTGTCCTGGACGACTACTTCAAAGAAGGCGAGCAGAAGAGTCTAGAGCAAGACTATGCACCAAAGAAGACCAGCGGTGTCCCTCCGCCTCCGAAGGCAGGCGGTCCGCCAAGAGGTCCGCCCAAGAGTGGTAGTGCAAGCAGGACAGGCACACCAGTCCAGAGCGACGGCAATGCGGAGGGTATAGCAGAGCCAGAAGTAGCATAAGCTTGACTTGAGATTAGCATAATATCTTAGAGAAGATGAATGACAGCAACATACATTTGATGACACCGCACTCCTTGTCACTTTCACACATCCTCATTCAGTCTTCAGCCTCAAAGTCTAGTTCTTCCCTGAATCGGCTCATCCTTCGCTGTTTCTTTTCTTCTACACTCTCGTTGCTTGCATTGCTCGATTGCGTCATGTACGAGTCGGCTCTAGCTTGCACTTCAGGCCTCTTCACGGCACCGCTAACACTCGCCTCTTTGCGTCCGTTGACCTTTTCAAAGGAGGAAACTTGGGGTGAAGTAGGTGATTGTTCTGGTGAAGAATCCGGGGAGGAAGACAGAGAGGTTTTGAGTTTGGTAGTCAGGGTACGGAAGATGGGCATCTTGGGCGATGGTCGTGAGTTGTTGTAATGATTTCGAGTGAAGATGTAGATGATCGCAGTTGTTTGGTATGTCAGGTAGTTGGAATATGGTAGTGTTGATGTCGAGACCCGAGGATTTGCATGTATCCAGTCGATAGGTAAGCCAGTGTAGGTTATTACGATGGACAGGCAAAAAGGAAGCAACCACGATGGTAAATCGACAAACAAACGGTAGTAATATCCCAACGAAAAATGCGCCAACAAAGGCGAGGCACACGACCACTCTAAATACCCTTTCCCCCACCACACACACTCACATACCCAACGCATAACCGCAATCCCAATGCAGACTACAGCCCCAGCACACCACGTCAGGGGGCCGGGCGCCACCTAGGGCTAACCCAATACGCGCGACTCTCATAGCCGCAACAACCCAACTATCAATAAACACGCGCAGTAGTTTCAAACCACGGGTTCCATGCAAACCACAGAACGAGCGTGCGTCTAGACCGGCATATTCGTGGTATGTGGGTACTTTAGTTGACGATGCAAGGCCAGACCCTGCGCTAGCTATTGCTGATCGCCATCACACTGTGTCTGTTCCTGGCCCAATTTACGTAGCAGCAAGGGAGTCACATGGCAGCTGGGTATTCCCGAGGTGCCGTGGGGCGACGGGCAGCTGGCTTTCGCTAATATGGGAAAGACGTTATGGGCTTTTCTATGACGGTTTCCCTGATTGTGAGCAAGCTTCCTGCAACGCCGATCAAAGGCATCGCAATCCCATGCCCAGCGCCGATGAGTCCCCGGAAACACCTGGCGTTAGAACAGCGGCAGGACATGTTATGTTGTTACGGTCAAGTAAAGCGATTGGCTGCACAGCGGGGTAAAAGGAGAGAGGCTTGGCTTTTTTTCCCGCTGGCCAAAACGGACAATCACGGACTACACCGCCATATGTGCTTTGCCGGCTTTAATCTGCTGCGACGAATCTATGCTATTGTGATTGGCGTATGTGGGCAAAAACGGGCGCAGGCGAAGTCGCTGACAGCAGGAAACAACGTCAAGGCAGTCATGAGACGTTTCCATCCAGCCTCCCACAAGTGTCACGAGCCCATTTTCACCCGGGCAACCTTCTCCCGCCCTCCCTCGCACCAGCCCTCTGGATCAGCGCGAGCCCAGATCTAGCGAACAATCGATGATGGGGTGTATCGGCGCACTCTGTGCAGGTAGGCAGAACGAAACATATCCGGTCGCCTTTACAAGTCGGCCATTGCTCCGCGCCGCGGCCCCCTTTGTAACGTAACGACGGCGCCACGTCCGTTTACTTGCCGGAACCAAGGCCTTTTCTCTCACCCAATTATCCACATGGTTCCTGCCCCTGCAGCGACAACTGCCAAAATAGACACTTAACGTCCTCCACCACATGGGAAACTCCCCGGTTTCAACTGTTGAGATGGTTTGCAATCTCCACCTCGTGTTCCTGTCAATCAAGAGTTCTGGCCATCTAGACCGCTTCAGACTTGAATCAGGTGGTAAACAGTCGGTTCGAGTAGTGTTGCATCCGGCAACGACGGGAGTCTCCAGTGCTCCACTGGCTGACACCTCTGACGTCCACTGAGTCTTCAACCAAACCGTGGTTCATTCACCGCATATTACCCCTGCCGAACTGGTGCCGAATCGGTCCCAGAGAAGGCCTTTACAAGCACTATTGATGCTGACAACTAGGACGGTATTAACAAGAGTGCGGAATCAAGGCGGAATTAGATGCACAATGTGCGCCGAAAGGGACGATTAGTGCAACAGTAAACCTGAGTGTCAAAGATAGAAACGCTTGAGGCGTAGGTACACGCAGAGGTTGCATTCGCAGGTAAATCTATCTCTGCGAACTCTACACGGGGGAACAATATCTAATTGGTCTCCTCGTAACAACAATCAAATCAGAACTCCGACTTGCTTTTCGAGCAGTCTATCCGTAATGAGCCTCCCAAAACAAAATATTTGAACGCCCATGTGGCTCGTGGAGCTAGCAATACTTGGAAACGGGCCGGAAAACAGGCACGAGGCCAAGGGAAAGTCTGGGGTACGCAAAAACAAACGCCTTACTATGATGTAATGCCCAAAACGCCATGTTTAACCTTGCTTCATCTTATATCGAGCTGGAAGGGTTTAAACTTGGCTCCAATAGTGCTGCATCGCGGACACGTCGGCACCCGACCGCGGTTGTGCTCACTGACAAGTACATCGACACACTCTTGACAAAGGCCGCAAATGCATTCGGAACATGCATAACTGTCGCGCAATATGGAAAGTTTCCGACATGCAGCGCAGTATATTTGCACAGGGAAAAGAGAGCTAGGAGAAGAATCAGATAGCCCCTGGGAGGGCATATGGAAAGTTTGACCGGACATGGCTGATTCAATGGATGACTCCACGGAAGGGAAAGGCTGGAGATCCGACATATCAGGCGGCGGAGGCGTCAAGGCGTTGTTCAATGGTGATGCGGTGTATGACTGAAGTTGTGAAGCAAAGTTGAAGGGAGGTAGAGAGGTTCGGTTGTTCATCATGTGAGGAGATTGATTTGGCGATTGTGGGACCTGTTCATGTTAGACGAGATGGGATACTAGAGTGTGATACCAACCGGTGTAAGATCTCGACTATCCTCTTCTGTGGCCGAAGCTGCAGCGTCAATCAAGTCTTCCCATCGTTTACCCATGATGGCCGCAGCTGTTGCCGGCTCGGCTGAGTAAGCTTTCCTGTCGTAGCTTAGCCTGCGGGAGTAGTCCTTTGACTTCTGCCGCTCATGCTTTCCCCTACGAGCATTCTGACCTATAGATGACTTGCGAGGTCTGTTCGGTTTGAGAGAGTGAACGCCTGGTGGCAGTGTTGAGGAGCGCCCGGGGGGCGAGCGTGCGAGAGAGGAAGGAAGCAACTCTTGTTGTATAGAATTGGACGTATAGTAAGGTTCCTCGGCATTGACATGTTGCTCTATGGTGGTAGGAGCGAATCGTGCGCGAGGTCTGTAGTTCTTCGAGTCCGGGTCGGATGCTGCGTCCTGTTCACAGCAGTTGTTAGCTCGGTCTTATGCAGGGAAGCTGCAGAGCGGCTTCATACCGGATCTGAGTCCCAGTCGTACTCGGCACGATGGTTGTGTAACGAGGCCAGGGCAGCTGCAGCGGTTGCAGCGGGTAGGAGCGATGGCCGTCGCATCTCATCCGATGTGCGAATGTTATTGGTACCGAAGTCGGTCTCGAAGAAGGAGTTATGTTCGTTTCCGCCATAATCGTACGTCTGCTGGGGTGCTGCTGAGGTCGTTGCGGGTGGTGGTGGGGGTCGTTCTTGTGGTGGTGTGTTCACCATCAACATGAAGCTCTCCTACAAGTAGGAATGCCGCGTCAGCAAAAGGTTTGCACGGTCTTGAGCAGGGACAAGCTTACCTCGGTTGCCGGTAACTTGGAGATATAATGCTCCGGGTGGGCACGGCGGATGTGCTCTTGCATGGACCGAAAGCGCTTCTCCTACGCATGGCGTGTTAGTCTGCACCTGAGAGCTCTGGGAGCTCTGGAAGCTCTGGAAGCTTGCCATAACATGAAAGAACGATGGTGAGGACTTACGCCAGTGCAGCGCTTGCGACAGGCGGAGCTGTCATGGTTGCGCAGCGGGCAGACAACGACATTGTTCTCGTCGCTGACGGAGAAGGAGCTCGTCAGCGGTGCTGCGCGCGAGGGAGGCATGGCTGCAAGCATCAATGGCAGAAGCTTCCCAACGAAGCAATGGCACGCGAAAAAGCTGGGCGCTAGGACAGAGAAGCTCTACCAGAGCTTGCGCAGCTTGGGGAGAGGGTTACAGTGTCGGTAGAGGCTGGTGTGGTGACTACGGCGGGTTGACGAGGAAGCTCTGGGCTGAAGTTGCTGCTACTGCGGATAGACGTAACTGAATGCGGGGCAGCTGGGAACAGCGGCGGGGCTGGAGAGAAAGTGATCAAGTAGTGGCTGTGTTCAAGAATCACGATTGAACCATGGAAGAAGAAGCAATGCGAGTGCACTGCTGCCGTCAGAGGAGAGCTGTATCGCCACAACCAGCTCGAGCGGATGAGCGATCAGACGGCTGCCCTGGAGCTGAGGCGAAGAAGATAGCTTGGAGCTCTTCGTGCTGCCCAATGACCTACCGCTTGAATGGGGATTTGTGCGCTCCAATCAGACGTAGCCGTGATCAAGGCGACTCATAATCAGCTAGACGGCGCAGAAGCCTTCTCACAGCTCAAGTCCCGTGCATGCAAGAAATTTTGACCAATGCGAACTATTGCTCGGACTCTTCAGCAGCACATCGGCTACGGCGCCATGAAGATTTTTGCTCTTCGAATGCCGAGCTAGATCCAGTTTCGGCCGGCAGGACCAGGAAAGTGCTGCACTTGGTTACAGGGAGCTGCATCTACCACATTTCCGGCGGCGAGCTTTGGGTCGAGGATACGGTGGTGGGAAGCGTCAAGGAAGACGGGAAGGAGGAACGAACAAGACACACGCAGCACGCGACGACGAGCTTTTGACGCGCCGGGGGTGGCAATTGTTGAGTGACAGGAGCACTGTCTTGCTATCGCTTTCCAAACGCGTCACATGCGTCTCGTCTGCACCTGCTGTTTCCCCCTGGTGCTCGTCTGCACCTAACCACGCTCGCGTCAACCTTCCAAAGCATTTGCTTCTGCGGCCGTTCCAAGGCGATGGCGCACACCCATAATCATCATGGACAAGGGCATCACAGACTGACACGGCATCGCCGTACCTTGTTGCCTCGTCTCCCTCTCCTCACATGTCTTACGTTGCCGTTGCATCGTCGTGCGCTTTGCCGACATTGTCTTGCACTTGTCTTCCGCTAGCATGGCACTCTCTGTCGAGTCGTTGAATGGAGACACTTCCTTTCTCCTTACCTTTGATCCACCCGCAGCCCCACTATCGTCACCAGGGTTATTCCCAGGCTCCTTCACGATTCTGGTTGACCGTAAGTCTTTGAGGATCGCGTCTTCGATCGTGCCTGAGATGACAGTCTGTAAATACGTGCTAATCTATTTTCTGGATAGCTTGGCTGTCAGGGCCGTCAATCATCCTAAACTCCATCTTCTCGCATTCTGAGCAAAGAGCAAAACCTTCCATATCGAGCCTCAAAGACCTTGACCGCGAACCCGACCTCGTGCTTATATCTCAAGACAAGCCGGACCACTGCCATGAAGCCACATTGCGCCAACTTCCACCAGATTCGGAGACGACTATTCTAGCCATCCCATCTGCAGCCAGAAAGATTCGGTCGTGGAAACACTTCCGTCCCAACCTTGTACATGCTCTACCAAAATACGTCGAGGGCGATGGTCGGTCTATACACCGCGTAGTAATATCGCCACCGTCTCCTCGAGGGACGTGTGGTGAGATAACCGTGACTTGGATTCCAGCGAAACGAGACCTATCCAAAGTACACCACGCCATTGGAATAACATATCGGCCACCGTGTACTGTGCTCTCATCGCTTAGTCCAATGCACTATATCGACCTGCCCATGAGCCCGCCCCCCTCACCAGGATCCCCTATGACCATTGCCTCGTCCCCTCGTACAATAGTGCCGTCGCCGTACAATGATCGTGAGAAGACCTTGTCCGTCATCTATTCGCCTCACGGTGTGTCATACGACGTGATTCGTCCCTACGCAAGCTCGTACCTTGTCTCGGAATCCGCCCTTCCACTCACAGCGCTTCTGCATTCTTTCGACTGCGTAGAGAACCCTTGGTGGCTGGGAGGCAACATATCTGCTGGAAGTCCCGGTGGTACTGAGATTGCCAAGAGTCTTTATGCCAAAGCATGGATCTCTGCCCACGATGCAGACAAGGACAATCGAGGCTGGGCAGTCAAGTTGACACAGATTGCACAACACGCAGTCGATGAAGTGAAGAAGATGATGGAAGAAGGTGTTGCCAGGAAGAAACTGCCCAACACCGAGATCATAACACTGGGTTCAGGAGAGAAACATCGGATCGCTGTCGGATGAAGATGGCGCCATTATCAAAAGCCCGAGGCTACTGCTTGTCTAGCTTGTCCGGCCAATACACGACCGGCCACCACCGAGGAAGGTGTTAAGGGAGATTGCCATATTGGATCACATTTGAGACACATATTGTAATGCTGAGGTCCGGGCTCACCAGAGTCGCATGGTCGAGCGTTGAAAGCGATGGTGAGTTTGTGCTTGGGATTCTTGAAAGCAGCATGGTAGGGGAGCGGAAGAAGGCTAGTGTCGCGAGCGCAGGTGCCATTGGGTGCGCGATAGTCAACACAGATGCACTGAGGAGAACGTGTCATAGCAGTGTAGATCTGTACATGGCCAGCTGTGTGGGGGGATATGTGTACGATGCGGAGCACTGCATGCTTGAGGTAGTTGCTACGCGATGTACTGCCATGTTGGGCGGACGAAAACAAGGCTGGGCTAGAGAGGAGATTTGGCAGTGGAGCAGGGGCTAGATAGTGCCGGCTATGGACGAGTGGGCAAAGTGCGGCGCAGGGCAAAGGCCGGCTCGCACTCTCCGTTGTCCGGTGCGCGACAACGTGGGCTGCATGGATAAGCATTGGATAGCAATAGCATGGTGCAGCTTGGGAGTGGAAAATAGCCCTCTCCTTTGCAACGGTGTCAGAGCGGTTAAGAATAGGCCTGTTTGAGAGCCACAGCATGACGCCGTCCCGGGCTGCTGGGACTATTGGTGTGGCTGAGGGGATGCATGTCGACTGTTCTTAATCCAGACGCGCAATCTCCCTCGACGGACTCGCGGAACGAGCAAACGAGGTGCGTACATGGCATTGAGGCGGCTTGAAGGGTGTGAAAAGTAACAGAGAGAAGTGGCGAGTGGACTGGAGCAGCTCCGAGTGCATACAAACTGTCGTGATTCACAGCACATCGGGCCCTTGTGCTGCTGCTTCTGGTGGCTTCGCAGCGTGCAATAAGGCACGATCCACCTGCCAAGGCTAGCGCAAGACGGAAGTCGGATCGCGGCGAGCGAAGGGCTGACGAGCGCAGTGCCAACTATTCGCACGAGCATCACCAGCTTCGACTCCTGGCTGCTGCAGACTACACACCACGCCCATTCTTGCGCCCGCCCTTCTTGTTACCACGACCCCATTGATTGAGCGCCTGCCGTCCCCGTCTCTCCTCCACCGTCCGCTCTGCTCTGGTAGTCTCTGACGGCGCTGCGCTACGCTACGCAATCCCCCGGACGACGCCCAACCCGACCTTCACAAGCCACACACACACCTACCTCTCACACACACTGGCTTCCCACGCTTCCTCGCCGACCCCTCCTCCGCAGCGCTCGGGGAAGGCTGCCTCTTTGATGAGCGTAACCATCCATGAGTCGCAGATGATGCCCTCGTATGGCGCCGAAGCAACCGACCGCCCATCCTTTGCCCATGCACAAACAACATCCACGCCGCCCGCGCGCACCCCCTCGGACCGCTCGTCTCCCAATGGCAGTGCTGCGGCCATGAACGGGAAGCTATCCAACGGCCGCCCGACCAGGCCCGCGAGCATCGACAAGCGCCTGTCGCAGGAAGAAGGGCGCCATGGCCGGAGTAGGGGAGACGCCATCGACGCCGACAGCTTCAACAACAACAACCGCTCGCCCGACATGCACCGGCTGTCCAGCGAGCGCCCGAGCAGGGACGATGGCTACTTTGCCTCGATCCATAGCAGCAAGACCAAGGACCGCCTCTGTGGCAGCACCACGCACGTCGAACTCGGCCAGATAGATGCCCTCGATGGCACAAAAGAAGCAAGCAAGGACTTCTACGTGCCGCATGTCGGCTCCATGTCCAACTCTACCACATCGCCCTCGCCCCAGCCCCAGCCCGACGAGGCCGCATCGAGCCTGCAGGTACCGACCCAGCCGCATCGCGTCTCCTCCCCACCAGCTTTCAACCACAACAACCCCAACTCTTCGCAGCCACCCCACCGCCTACAGCAACGTCACACCCTCGAGGTCCCCAAGCTGCAGACATCGCGCGCCCGCGACACCCAGAACAACACTGACGACGTCATCAGCGCAAGCGGGAGGTTCTCGCCCTCTACGCCGCACCGTCGGAGAGGCTCCATGTCGCTTGTGCGTAGGACCACACGCTCCGTCAACTCAGACATGCCTCCTGACGAGGTGCCCCAGGACGATGAGGCCGCGCGATGGGCTGAACACATACGACAGAAGAGAGCCAGCAAGAGGAAGCGCAAGGAGGACGAGGACGAGGACCGCGTCGTAGTAGGCACCAAGGTGGACCAGAATCACGTCAACTGGGTCACTGCCTACAACATGCTGACGGGTATTCGCTTCACCGTCTCGCGAACCAACGCCAAGATGGACCGAGATCTTACCGATGCTGACTTTGACGCGAAGCACAAGTTTTCGTTTGACATGTACGTGCCGGCTGTTTTTCCTTATAACATCACGGATTTGTTCGAGTTCACCTTCACTTCGTCTGCCAGACCTGTGTTCTCTGCTCATTCGCCCAATGCTAACATTTCCACAGAACTGGCAACGAGCTTACTCCTTCCGCCAAGTACGACTTCAAGTTCAAGGACTATGCGCCATGGGTCTTCCGCCATCTCCGCACTACCTTCAAGCTCGACCCTGCCGATTACCTTGTCTCGTTGACAAGTAAATACATTCTTTCCGAGCTCGGCTCTCCAGGCAAGAGCGGCAGCTTTTTCTATTTCTCTCGCGACTACAAGTACATCATCAAGACTATCCATCACGCTGAACACAAATTCCTGCGCAAGATTCTCAAAGACTACTACAACCACGTACAAGAGAACCCCAACACCCTTCTTTCCCAGTTCTACGGCCTGCATCGCGTAAAGATACCCTATGGACGTAAGATCCATTTCGTCGTCATGAACAACCTGTTCCCTCCGCATCGAGATATCCACCGCACATTTGATTTGAAGGGCTCGACGATTGGGCGAGACTTCAAGGAGGATAATCTGGCGACCAACCCTCGCGCAACTCTAAAGGACCTGAATTGGTTACGCAGAAATCAGCATCTCGAGTTAGGACCATCGAAGAAAAAGATGTTTATCGAGCAGATGCAGAGGGATGTCAAGTTGCTGCAGCGCTTGCACATCATGGACTACTCACTTCTCATTGGTATCCACGACTTGGAGAAGGGTAATGAGGAGAATCTGAGAGACAAAACACTCAAGGTCTTCTCACCAGGTGGGGAGGAGGCACCAGAGCCACAGCCGAATCAGCTCATGCGTACACCTTCAAAACTAGAGAGTGCTCGGAAAGCAAGGGAACTGAGGCAGATGGTCAAGACCCAGAAGCCAGTGCCAATGGGTCAGACCTCCAGCAAGATGCCGGATGAGTTGGAAGACCCTAACCGGAACTTCTACTTCTACTCCGATGATGGCGGTTTCCGGGCTACTCATGAAGACAACGCTCCTGGAGAGGAGATCTACTACCTTGGCATCATCGACTGTCTGACACACGTAAGTCTCCAACATAATTGATGCGCATGTTGTAACATACTAACTTCACTTCAGTACTCGTTCATTAAACGCATGGAACACTTTTTCAAAGGCATCGCTAATACCGAGTCACAAATATCTGCCATACCCCCCGAACGATACGGTGATCGATTCATCAAGTTCATCAGCGGCGTCACCAAAACCAAAGAAGCGGCCGATCGCGAGAAGATGGAAGAGGCCACTAACGATCTCACCGAACTATCGCTGGACGGTCTCAACCGATCATCGACCGACCGCGTTGTAGAGAAGGCAGAGCACCAAGCTGAACGCTCGCGACGACAAGGTCATGGCGAGGAGAATGTACCGAATCTGCACATGAGGGCAGTACGTAGTCCGTCCGCGGAAAGAGGAGAGATTGGGACCACTCTTCCTGTAGTCGAGGAGGCTGGCGAGTCTTCGAGTGTTGGTGGGCATAGCAATCGGAGCGCCTCAGATGGTGCCCATGCTATAACTACAAGCAACAATGAGGCCTCGCCGCCTCCGCCACTCACAGGAGCACCCTATCTTGGCCCCCCGCGCCTTGAGTCCAGAGCTAGGTCAACGTCCAGGGAAAGGGATCATTCACAGGGTAGGCCACCACCAACACCACCGAAAGACTCGGGCACCGCAAGTAGCGATGGTCGGCCACCCACACCAGCAAAGGATTCCGAGTACATGTCTAATAGGCACTCTGGGCCGCCCACACCACCGAAAGAGGACAAGAGAGGAGGGATACCCAGAGCCTCTCTGGACAAGGACCTACCACGAACACCATTAGAAACCACCATCAGGGTTACCTAAGCTCGCCAATGGAATCTTGTCCAAGTTCGCCATCATGTCACACCTTTTCATACAATGCTTTTTGCATACCGCCTGGTCAAGTGCCAGGCTTTTCCTTTGTCGCTCCCCTGCGTCGCGAATGCATGATACCATGAGCCGCCGCCCGTTTCTATAGGGCGTCGATTCGCCCCTGCTTTTTCCTTTGTTCACCTTTTTTTTCATTTCTTGTCTCTGTTTGGAGCTATGTAGCTTTTCTTCCCTTATTGTTGGATCACGGAATTGGAACGGACGGCCTGTGTAGTACATTTCTTTCTCGTTTTGTCTCTGTCTCTATCGAACTCGTGGTGTCGGTGAACAGGAGTTGGTCGCCGCCCCTTGTTCATGTAGAATAGCTTCCGGTCGATTGGTGGAAGGAGGTGATAATAGCAGTTAGTGTTTGCTGACAGATATTGTTGACGTTGGCAGAAGAGCCGTGGTTGGGAAAAGAAGAAGCGGTTATGCCGTTGGCAAGAGATGGATTGGAGGGCTTGGTCGTACATCTAGTAGATAGAGACGAAAGAAATTACAATTGCATATAATAAACATAACCTCCTCTCCAGTCCGTTCTGATCACATGCTGGGAAGATGATGACACAAGTCAAGAGAGTCTTGAATTCCAACGCATGGTATTTCTCTGTCTACTTTGAATCGACACTCAACCTTTAAAGCGGGCAGGAGAGGGTTAGGATGATTGGCCAACATTTCTTGCCATCACATACAAGTGCGTATCGCACAATGTAATCACATTTAAACCTTGAGTTCAACGAAGAGTAATTCCCAAATGATGCGGTCCCGAGAAGCAATGAAGAAGCAGGCGACACAGATGTGTTCACGTAGTGTCATGCATTAACAGAGTTACGACGGTACACGCCTCTGCAACGCTCATAACTAGAAGGCCTAGTCTATCTAGTAGCACAATGCCCCATCTCTCTCGCGCATTAAGTTTTCTCCTCACAACTAAGCAGCGAATTCGCTTACTTATAGAAGTCGAACTTGTCAGCCTCAGCTGCACCCTTGACCTGGCTCGTGTATGCTTCCTCCAAATCGCTCTGGATGATGTTGTACCTGTTCTTGCGGACGGCTCTCAGACCTGCTTCCTGCATAATGGCCGCGATAATGGCACCGGAGAGGGGGTCGTTGCGGACAATCAAGCTGTCGAGATCTACTTCAGGCGACAAGCTCATCTTTCCGGCAATGGTGGAGAAAATAAGACGACGCTCACGGCGGTCACGTAGCGAAGGGAACTCAATCTTCCTGTCGAGACGACCGGGTCGGAGTAGCGCAGGGTCGAGGGTATCCGCACGATTCGTTGCCATGATGACCTTGACGTTGGATGTCTGGTCGAAACCGTCCATTTGGTTGAGTAGCTCGAGCAAAATACGTTGAACTTCTCGGTCGGCACCCGTCTGCGCATCAAAACGTTTGGTAGCAATAGCGTCGATCTCGTCAATGAAGATGATGGATGGTGAGTTCTCGCGCGCCATCCTGAACACGTCACGAACCATACGTGGACCCTCACCCAGATACTTCTGCACAAACTCGGAGCCGACGACGCGGATAAAGGATGCTGTGGTGCTGTTTGCTACAGCCTTGACCAACATAGTCTTTCCCGTACCCGGAGGTCCATACAACAGTACACCGCGTGGTGGATCGATACCGATCTGCTTGTAGAGGTCGAAGTGTGTGAGGGGCAATTCGACAGCTTCCCGAATCTCCTGCTTCTGCATATCCAGGCCTCCGACGTCGGCATACGTGATGTCGGGCTTCTCATCTTGGCCAAGCATGGCAATCGACGAGTCAGCCTCTGGTGGTAGGATGTCGACGAGGGCATTTGAGTGGCGGTGCAGCGCAACAGATGAGGATGGTTTGAGGAGTTCGCGATCGAGGGTGGAGAGGATACGGACGACGTAGTTGGAGCCGGTTGACGATTGTACGATGCCGGTGCTATGTGCGTCAGTGCTATGACGCAAGTGCTATATTTGTGTTAAGCTTACTTCTGGTCGATGGCCTCCATGAACTGCCCTATCACGAGCGGTACACTCTGAATACGCTTGATCTCTTCCTGTGCTCTCACCAACTCTCTCTTCAAACTCCGCTGCTCATCTTTGATGTACTCTTCCTGCAGATGAATGTACCTGTTACTGTTAGCCACCTGTGTTCCAACGTGTCTAAATGCCACATACTCCAGTTGCCGTTGCAGCTTCTTGAAGGTCGAGTAGTCATCATTTCCCTCTGTGGAGAAGCCCTCGAGGGTATCAAAGTTCGGTATCGATGAAGGGAGCTGCTTCTTGTGCGGCGGGACGGTGTTGGCCGGGTTCTCGACGGCGGTGTCAGCCATGGTGATGGTGGCTGTTGGCTGTTGATCTGGGTACGAGTTGGTTGTGGATTTCCAACAGCGAGAGACGGCGAGGGTCGGTGGTGATTGTTGTTAGCGTGTTGTTTGTGAGGCAGTACTTATCTGTCGCAATGTTGATGAAGCTCATGGGAGGCGCGACCGGGCAATGCGAGACGCTAACGCCGATATCACGTGAATGTGACGATCACTCAAGCACCTTCGCTGGGAAGCACATCTTAGACAGCATCTACTGCGACGTGTTGAAAAAAAGAAATTCACGATGCTATGGTCACGCGCTAAATGCCCGATATGTTATCAGGTGACGAATTGGAAATCACGAATCATCTAAATGGAGCGCAAGTACGCGCCCCCAAATGCTGTCGGGCTTTGTCACACAGGCCTAGTTGAATGGTTGTAGACCCTTGCTCACTACTTGAGATAGCCAGACTGTGTATGCATGAGGGGTAGTAACCTGCTCGCCGTGAGAAGTTACCTTTTAAGTGGAAGAAGATGTGGAGTACAAAGAAGGCCCAAAACCCTAGTTTTACCCACCCCTTGGAGTAGTAAATCCCGCGGCGGTTTACAACAACGTCGACTTTGTATTTGGCACGCAGGAAGCCATGCATGGATTTGTAGGTCTACCGAGGCATTGAATTGATGGAACAGAACACGAGCCTCCTTACAGACATGTATCATAACACATGCGCCGAATCTGACATGTACAACCCCAGTCATCGTGGCAGATTACCGGCGTGTGACGTGCCGATCACCAACGGGTGTACATGAGTAGATGCGAATTTACACCGTACTGTACTCGGCAAGAGAGAGGCCGGCTGCGCCAGGTTCGAGCAAGTTCGCTGGTGGGCTGGCTCTAGGGTGAGGGCGAGTTCAACGGTTGGCCGGGGTCTCGACGCAGAGTCAAGCGGTCTGGGGTGCCCACTCTCGACGCCCAGCTATGCGATAACAGCGCCATTACTGCAGGAACAAAGTGATGTAATAAGTGGAGAGACGAATGTTTCCGTGTCACGACGGCCAAACTGACCCGGAGAAATCAAATTGAGTTAGACTAGGCTTGTGAGTTGCCGGCAACGCAGGCACTCCACTGGCCTGTCGCGACGCGCGAACGCGTCTGCTGTTCCGGATGCGACTGTGCTTGTGTGTATGTTTTGGTGAGTTTGCTGTCGCTGCTGTCTGCGGCGACGTGCTTTTCAGTTTTCAAGTCGCGGACACTGCTTGGTCTCGTGATGCCCGACAAGGCTAGTAAGTAGAGGCTGGGAGGCTGCCAAGAAAACTGTTCCTTCCTCCGCTCTCAGCAACGCATAGTCCGCAAAGCGCGTCTGCGGTACGTGAAGTTATCGACCGCATTGGAAGCCACTCGTTTTCCGTCCTGCCCTGATGAGAAGATCATTTTAGCGTCGGTCTATTGTCGCGTGGTGTGTATTATCTCATCCTCCCTCCCTCCCTCTGTTGCGTGTCTGTTCTGGACCTCGTGCCAGTGCTGCTGCTAGAGTCGCGTCCATCTAAACATCAACATGCGTGCTGACCAAAGGCTAGCCAAGTCAAATCCAGGCACTCACGTACCCCCATCGCTCTCTCGCTCGTCTCTCCCTTTACGCGACTGTCCATTCCCTCTCCCCGCCCTTTTCAGCCATTCGCGGCAGTAGCGCACCATCATGGACTTCCAGTCTCCCCAAAACGGAATGTACGATCCCTCGAGCTTCATCGACCCGAGCGCCATCGCAAACCCCCAGATGAACGGCGCGCGCCCATACAACCCTATGCCGTCGGTGCCCCAGAAACGAGACTCCACTGGCGCTACCCTCTCGCTATCGCGCTCCCAGACACCTTCACAGCAAGCCCAATTCGGCTTCCAACACCAACAAGCCTTCACCAACACGCCTTCCCCTACTATGCAAAGCCAGCACTTTGCGCCTGGCCAAATGGGAGGCCAGCGGATGAATACTGCCTCGCCCGCGCAAAACCCCCATGCGCCGCAGATGTCCCCCATGAACTTCCAGGCCTCGCCCATGAACCAGGCCTTCAACGCTGCCAACTCGGGAAACCAGTTCCCAGTGCAGTCAGTCCAACTGTCGCAAAACCTACAGAGTCGCCAGCAAGAAGCGCAAAGACAATACGCGATGCGCCTGCAGCAGCAGCAGCAGTTGGGCAACCTTGCCGCGAGCAACATGGCCGCGCGCCAAGGACAACAACCGGGCGCGCAGATGCCCGGCGCAATGCAGAACCCTATGCAGCACCCAGGCATGCAGCAGAACATGATGCAAGCCCAAGGGCAAACACAGAATCCGCAATCACAATACAACCAGTTCATTAAGAATGTCCAGGCACTAATGACCCAGCACAATCGGCCCTTCAATCACCAGCCCCTCTGCGCTGGCCGTCCGACAAATCTCCAGAACCTTTACGCGGCTGTTATGCGCTTCAAGGGCCACCGATTTGTGACGCAGCAAAATGGATGGCCCAGGATCGCGCAGATGATGAGCATACATCCGCAACAGTTTCCTAATGCTCCCAACGAGTTGCGCCAGATATATGAACAATATCTGAGCCTCTACGAAACTGCTTACCTCCAAAGGCAACAGCAAATGCAGCAGAAAGGCATGCCTCCGCAAGGACAGATGGGACAGAT